TTGAGTTGCTTCTGGCTGAAAATGACTTCATGTCTGATTTGCTTGTAACAGAGGGGGGATGGGGGTTGTATCTCTGTGTTCATGGAAAATATACTGTACTGTAGACAGGCAGGATTGGCTTTGACGTGCTGGAGGAAAGACTGTGCAGCAAATGTTGCACCTCTTCTCCTACTTCCCTTTCAGAAAATTGCAAATGGTAGCCTATGCGGTTTATGTAACTTTTGTGTTGGTTTCACTTCTCTTTAGTTTTCCCCTAAGTCTTAAATGCTACTCTATGTCTGCAGTTTCAATTTCATCCTCTTCTCTCCTCCACCTCTGCCCTTCTTCCCGGGATGCCAGTGCTGGAGCCAGGTAGGTCTGCAGACATGAGTAATGTGGCTAAGACTGACTCATGCACCAAGACATCAGCCGTCTGTGTGGAGCCAGCAATGACACAAGCACAAGCGCAAACACTCACACACACATTCTATACTGAATTGACAAGCAGGCAGACAGACTTGGTGGTGCCGAAGATACAAAGCCCAGTCATGCAAGTGGCTGTTATCATCGCCTTATATTATGTGGTCATTATAGAAAAACTGAAATCGAATCCATGAGTGATGATATCAGACTGTTAACAGTAATCGTGTCTGTGAAACAACACACGCTCACACATACAGTCAGCCTGTGTGCATGAATCCTATAAATACATTACATATAGCTACATGAAACAGTTCAGACATAATGTATACAAACTTGAAGGATATTTTAGAGTGAGTTTATTATCAGAATAATTGAACACTTAAACATTTATGATGTAATTTGTTTATCTTGAGCTTTGTTTTCAGATTTTGTTTCTTTTTTCATAGTGAAATTAGCCTGTCAAATTAATTGGATTTTGGAATCAAACACTCCCAATCAAAATACAGTTGTATCTTTATTACAAGGGCAAACAAATTGTCCTTATAATGCTACAAAAAAAAAGCCACATCTCCTTATTGTGGAATTTATGCAAACCCACACATACATACACATGCTTGCGTGCGCACACCGCTCATTGCAACTTTATAACATTTATTATTCATGCAAGAGTAATGTGAGGTGTCTCCTTTTTAATGCCTCCTAATGGCTTTTTGAGTTACCGCTGCCCGCTATGAATAAATGATATCAGTCATACTGCAGTCAATACTTCACTCACTCACGCAGGCCAGCAGCGAGTTGATCTATGGGTTTCCACATTCTCATTCTCAAAAGCTTATATTATAAACTCAGATCAGTTTTTCTTTCTTAATTGATAAAACAACAAATATGTGAGGTAAATGTGTGTGTCACAGTGACGAGTATGCTGCAACTAGTCAGCAGGTATGAAGTCACCTGTCAAACATACCCTGAAGCTCATATGTAGAATCTTTGGCTTGGTAGATGTAGTTACCTATGCCAGCATCATAAGTGTGGGGAAAATATTGCATATAACAGTTTATTCAGTACTGTATATAAAGTAGATATGGACAGGTAACACAGGCCACACACTTCTCTAGTGTTCAGTGGGCACTTTTCATCAAAGACTGACATGTTACAGTAGAAAAGGCACAGATATAACTAACAGTGTTAATACCAACTTCAGTTTAAGTTCAAAAGCGCTGGCACTGTGCTCACTGACTTCCTGATGTGACTTATTGTGACCCATAAATGGAACTAACTGATCACTGAAGTTACTGCAATAAACTGTAATTATGTAAGGGATGATATTTTGTTTTCCTGTACATAAGAAACAGTTTATATCATGGAGCCCATAACAACACCACAACACTGTCAAGTTTAATCAACCTCCTTTCAGTTTCATCTAAATTTGACCATGGCAGTATTTAACAGACTGCTGTTGAATTGCATGATGCTGCACAGCTGTATTTACTGCATTCACTGGCTGTAGCTCTGAAACAAGGAACTGGATGAAGGAATATAGATCTCTCTCATGCGCCGCACCGGCTGGGATGATGTGGAATGGGAACATATCGACCCCTGGATGGCTCAGTATTGACGAGTGGATGAATTTCAGGAAGTGACCTTGGCTAATTCAGATGAGCACCTGACCAGAGCCCAGCTCATTTTCCCACAGAGCACATCTCTGGCACCAGCTGGCCCTCTGACGGACAGCAGAGTCTTCTGAGAGGCAAACATAGTTCACTGGTCTGACATTTGGTCATTGTGGACTGGTCACAGGTTCATATTGTCATGAATTTGGCGTGTGTCATAAACTGTGGGTGTTAAAAACAGTAATAGAATGACAGCCAGTATTAGCCATGCAGATTCTTTCAAGCTGATTTCTACATCCATTACAATAAAAATTAGATGAATGGAATTTTATGTATGGTGTTGAAAATCTACTTAAAAAAATCAACCAGAACATGTATCTGCAGAAGTAATGACCCTGTTGCTCTTAATAGCCCACAAAGCAGACTGTGAGCAGTTTTCTGGGGGGATTATGTTTTGGTAGAGGGCATGTGAAATCTGTGAATAATCCATTATTGAAGCTTTTAATTTAACTTTATATGTGAGCATCACAAATACAACTTCATTCACTTAACTTGTTTTGGGGTGGTGGCAGATATCTTAGAGTGGATGTTCCGAAACTAGACACATTAAGCCATACTCTGCTGTAACTTGATTTTACTGAAAATAACTGATGCTGTCTAAAGCTGTTTCTTTCTAAATATAGCAAATCAAAGTTGTAAACCTATGTCATGTAGGCCTGTTTTGTGTTTAATGTAGGCTAGAAAGAAACTGACTAGGGAGCTGAAAAGATATGAATGTTTTATTTTAAAAAATATCAAATTTGGGCAAATCAACACATTAAATAGTCATGGTTCTGAGACACTGCTGTTATAAAATGGTAGCAACACAATTATGTAAACGTTCTAGATGAAATTTACACAAGATTAAAAATGAATGTTGGTCTATGAAATTCCTCCACATTTGCAAGAATGGTTGTAATCAGTTCCACACTACAGAACTACACATGTGCAAAGATTTTAAACTGAGCCATAGAGCAATCAGCCAACCCACAGGAAAGAAAAAGTATTTCTAACAGACCTTTTCTGTCTTTAATTCCTGCCCACAAATATTGAGAATGTGTAAAACTGTGACACTTGAGTAAACGCAGTGTAGGTTCTCACTGGCCTGGTGTCAACAAGCATCCCACAGCACCCCCTTGTGGCTGATAACAGCACTACATTCGTTTTGAACATTCCAACCAGCTTCCTGTCAATCATCACTGTAACCCCGCCTTCTCCTAAACCGATTGGAGGCCATGGAGTGCCGACGAGCCAATCATGTGGCTCTGCCTCCTGTTAATAGGGCTCCTATCTCCTTGCCGTCTGTACCTGTGTGCTTGTGATATTTATAGAAGAGAGGATGCAGAGTGTAGCAAGGAAGAGGAAGGAAGGAGGAGGAGATAAAGAGGGGAGAGCAAGAACAAGAACAGGGAAGAGATGAGTGTCAGGGCTTGATAATGTCCATAGGTCTTGCTCTGATGGTTTCTCACAGGAAGAGAGGCCAGCCAGTTTAGCAAGGTATATTGATCCAGTTTATGGGAATCTGGCTGATTGGTGGTTTTCCTAGAGTAGAAAATGGGTGAAAGGAAGAAGGGAAGAAGAGCTACTAAAAGCTTAACAAAATGAATGGACAAGAATTGAAGTTAAGATATAGATGCTTGATGAACTGTGTGATTAAATATATTCCTACCCTAAATAAAACACCCAAACTGAAAAAAAAGATGGCAAATGATAAAAACCACTATGTGATCACTAAACCACAATTTATATTTTCTAAATTGCAGATACCTGTTTATTGGTAGGTGCAACTTACACTTTCCTTATTGATAAATCTGGCAGTTCTGTTTTTGACACATGACTTAGTCAATAAAACGTCAGAAAATGAAAAATGCCCGTCACAGTTACTTGGAGTGCAAAGTGTCTTTGGATGTCTTGTTTTCCCAAACTTAAAAACCTTGTGTTTACAAAAATATAAAACAGAGTAAAGCAGCAAATCCTCACTTTGAGAAGCTGGAACCAGCACTGGTGACCTAAAAACAACATGATCAGTGAGACAGAACAATCATCAGCATTTTGGATTACTGAAATTTGAATCTATACTAACTGATCACATGGCACCTTGCCTGACTGAATGGAGTGTTAAATGGCAGGCAGGTCATCAGTTCAGTAAAGACTTTAAAACAGGAGTGAGAAGATGTGGATGCAGAGTATCCACTATAAGGATTCACTAGACATAAACCATGGTTTCTTTTGTCCAAAGACAGTCGGCTTCTGGCAACAAGTAGAACAACGGCTGACATGGCACAGTAACTTACCCAGTGATATACCGATTATTAC